TGCCTTATTCTTGAGTTTAGAGCATTTCTACAAATAACGTTATCACACAACTTTACCTTTGACCAGAACCTCTTTAAATCTCCTTATCTCAGACTTCTTTTGCTCTTTTTTCAAAAAGGCAGCTCTGTAACCACTCAGAAGTTAGGAAGCTTTTTGGAAAGACCTTCCCGTGGCCCCACTCGGATCAAAGCATATTTTCCTAACCCGCGTCTCACCTTGCAATAAGTCTTCCCAGCTTCCTGCGGGATGATGTCAGCTGTTTTGACTTGACAAGCCTGCTGAAGGTGGAAGGAACATCCAGTTGAGACCTGTCTGAGCTGGTAGTCAGGCAGCAGAGATGCAATCATGGTACAGCTGTGTCCTAATTCAGAGGCTGTATGTTTGAAGGCCGAATGCATCACAGACTCGTTTCGAAGGCTCCGTCAAATGTGGCAGAGAAATGCATCCTTCCGTTCATTGCGTGACAGTGACGAAGCTAATGTGGTGGCCACTACAAAAATACCCAGGTAACAAGCTGGTGACCCAAGAAAATCCTCTGTAGCCCAGAGTCGTCTCACTTTGTCTGAAAGAGGAGCTTTTGAAGTAGAGTCCTTCAAAGGATGCAGCCCCTGAACTAGGACACGGGAAAAAAGGGCCAAGCCAAAGCAGCAAAAGTAAACAACAATCGTTTCTAGGCAACCTGTGAAATACATGTATCATAAGTAGATGTAGGGTTTAAGTCTGTCTCTATGGGAGAGGTCAGGAAAGATGAGAACACAAACAGCAGAGACAGCAACAGAGATCGTTAGCATGAGTCAGTGCTCAGATTAGACATCAGTCAGTGTGTCTACTATTGATGCTACAATACCCTCCTTGGTGAATCATACCTTTATAAGAGCAGATGAGAGATGTTTGATATCCACATCTGGTCTCGGTGATGAAAGCTCTACCAGGAAAGTTTTTGATACCATGAGTTATAATCACCATAGATTCACCTGGCTCCTCTGACTCACCACAGCTCGACTTACTTCCTGCACAGTGAGAGAGCGTGGCAGCCGGGATTCAAGCTCATGATCTGTGACCTTTCTGTGCTTTGTCATTTGTACTGATCACCTCCTACAAAGACATATAAACTGAATGCAAATGTCCGAGCTGGAGCCTCCGGATTATCTGCAGACTTTCTCCACCAGGCCCACTAGTATAAAGTCCGCAGAAAGTGCAAAGAATCCGATTTTTTAAATCTCTGCATGAGGAAGTGGAGCCACACAAGACAAGATGTGCTGTAAAGATAGATAGATAGATTACTTTATTCATCCCTGAAGGGAAATTAAGTCGTCATAGCAGCCAGTATATTTGAATAA